AGTCAGGATGGGACACTTACCATCAATAGTGCGAGCGCGACTTGGAACAACGTATCGAGTCCTTGCAAAAGGAACACGTCCAGAATGTGGAAAACGAGATAAAGCGGAAATCGGGCCGTGAATAAAGTTAAAAACCATTGTGCAGCGAACATGTGTGTCTCGACACCGCGATCGCAAAAGTGTTTATAAAGTTCTGGCAACTGGTCCTGCAGGAGGGGATAGGAGAATAATTACAATGTGAAAATGATCATAATGGCTGATAATGAAATTGGAACGCGTTACGAACCTCTATTAATCTATTAAGCTGATAAAATCTCATGTGAAGGTTGTCAAATCGATCCTTGTACAAGTCTCTTAGACCGTAGTCGTACATCAATTTAACCAGAACACAGAAAGCTTGTTCCTCCGGCATCTACAAAAAATACCTAACGTTTTTCTTGTCATTAAATACCCTAATGAATCGACTACTGCGAACGCCGACACGCTTCTTGCGGGTGATAAATTCCGAATGGCGACTACTTACGTGAAGGAGCAAACTAGCGACCAAAAAACTGAGTCCTTGACAATATCCGACTTCTTCGTCGTACACCGCGTACGCTTTGCTTATTCTGTACAAAGAATCTTGTCCCAAGCCACCTGTTTCTTTGAAATAGTCATGGGCGGGAAACGTTCTATTGATGTCTCGCAAAATAACGCTCTCGCAACTACTTTCCTGCACATTTGACGTAACAGAACATCATTATACGAGAATAACGACGCGCGCGTTTTCACACAACGTGTTCACTTACCTTGGTAATTAAAGTTCTGTATCTGTCCATCATTTCTTGTGAATTATCACAATTACTTAAACGTTGCCATACCTCTCCACGCAAAGCTTCGGGGATACCTTGCTTCGCCAGTTTTATAAGAAGTTTCGGACGTTGCTCGTTCACTTGCCAGCTGTCCAGTACCTCAGCCCAGTTAGCTAACTCGCCCGCGGAACAATCCTTCGATACTTCACCCGTGCCGCTCAACATCGGTTCGTCTCCGTCTGTCGACGCGAAAGCTTGAATCAGTACATCTTCTGTCGTATCGAGCAGAGGAAAGTTGCAACTTCTTTCGAAACCTGAATCTATTTCTTCTTTGGGTGTAAGCGTGTCGATGCTAGTCAAGGAAGGTGATCGAATCAATGATGCTAAATTAAGAGCAAGGTTCAATCTGTTCCTGTCTAGTTCTCCCGAAGTTTCTGTACTTTGTACTTCATAGTGAACCTCGGCTCCGTCGCTGGATATTATCTAAAGATATGGATAAAGTCAGGTATGTAGAGAGAGAGAGAGAGAGAGAGAGAGAATCGTAAGAACGTATGGATTCCTTCGAATGAGGCCTTACTTCTTTTGAATTAAGATAAAACTGTTGTACAAGATTTCGTTTATTAAAATACCAAAACCTCTCGTTTTGCGGGAATACTTTGACTAATGTTTCTATTATGAATCTAACTGGTTCTCGTATGCCGCGTATCACTAAATCAACAGCGACTGTCATGTAAATTTTCTCTTCCCTGGGAGTCTCGATATTAAGAGTCTCCAAAGCTGGATCGGCAGGATCCCAGTGTCCAAATATATTGTAACACTGTTTATCTTGTATCAATGGGCCAGTATTAACTTGCTGGAATCAGATTTTATTTGTTACTTCACGCATCGGAACATCGTTGAAATCAGCTAGTTTTGAAAGATGAATTTCACCATTTCAAGCAGCCGCATATCACTATGTTTGACGTTGCGTCCGGGACTAACGAGGACGCCGAAACATCTTTCAACCTCGAGAGTGATTCCTCCTTCCTTACTCGATACTTGTTGGATACTTAAACACACATGTTTAGCCACGTTGCTTCGAAGCTTGAAGCAACTTCTGTCTTTAGGAACTGTACTGAAACCACCCTTTCCATCTTCTTCCTTTATCTCCATCGTTACTTCAAAAATGAATACTCGAGAATTGGTTTTCTCACTGCCGATGTTGAAACCATTAAAATCGCTGCCTGTCAAGGAGCTGGTCATCGATCTTGGTATTCTGTGAAATGCTTTGGAAAAGCATGCAGAAACTTGACCCACCTATGACAGATTATAAACTTGGTACAACTCGACTAAAATATAATGGAAGTTCTACGGGAACGCATGGAACGTACAGCTTCCGGTATGTCGCATCGAAAAACGTGACACTGATAAATGGCAGACTCCAAAGTATCCCCGTGTGACCAAGTGAAGGCAAAGCATGCCGCGCACGGGCCAGTACTTTCGCCACGTGCATAAAACAAGATTCGTTGTACTTCGTAATGTGCGATCGGTTGTTGAGTGGTAGCATCGTATAAACTGTACAGAGGCAACGCGAACATTAACTTAAACGAAGGAAACGGTATTCGTTCGTCCAAGTTCTCATCGACCATACGTACACAACAGAACCTTGAGAACTGCTAGGCACGGACACCGATACTTTGATTCCTAAGTTAAGACATTGTTCCGCATTCAGTATGTTCATGTTCCGTTGAATCTCGCATTCCGATTTTGGTGCATTTATCGTAGCCGATCCCAAATAAGTAACACCATTGAAAATAGTACATTCTTGTTGAACGTGCGCCAAGGAATTTATTTCTACAAACATTTCGGAAGTGTCCGCACAACAGCTTCTGTAGCCGATACAAAAAATATCGATGACGCTTACCTTCGTCGATATAATCCTCTGGTTTCATAATATCTTGCTTTTCGGATGCAACCATACAAGAACTCACATCATAAAATTTACTCTGTCCAACTTTCTTCGTTTTCGGTTGATTTTGCTGTACAGTGCTCACGATTTTATAATCGTTGCCTTCCATTTTCGACTCTTCGGTTAACACCTGTGATACATCATCAGTCAGATAATTGTCTATGCGTAATATAAAAAAATGGCAGATCAAATGAATCACACGAGCCAAACCTCCTGAAGATTATTTTGGAGATCTTCAAGATTGCCGTTATTGGCAATTTTTAACATCGGTACATCGATCAGTGTCTGCTGCTGCTTCCCATTGCTTCTGTCATTTACGAATTCGTATTCATCACTTGTCGCGACAGATTCCATCGATTTAACACTCATACTATCCTCCATAACTATGTCTGGAATGCAGTACGCAAAACTGTTTCATCGCAGCCCCAAAAGAAAGATATGATTATCATTTAATTACATATTTTCACATAACGATTGTGCGCGTACGAATGAGTATACACTTGTAGGTATATATCTCTAGATGCAAAGTACAATTGGATGCAGAAATGATTCGTAAGGAGAAATAACAATAAGTGGTTAACGATGTATTTCGCTACATAACAAATCGGGAGATAAAGCTATTTGTAGAAAGCACGTAACGTTCGTGCCACGATTATGGCACAGCACGAAATCAGAGAAGACTACGATTTCCGACGTAACAATATCCTTTGCTCTGTACTGTCTTTATTTTTGGCAACCAGAGAATACAATCGGAGTAATCAATTCGATTCGAATAATCTGAGCGAATGGGAAGAATTCCAATTTGTAACCAGGATTCACGAGGGTCAATCTCCTAATTATCAGTACGACTCGTTCGAACACGAATAAAATAATATATCGCGTAAGGATCATGAAGGAAAACAAGATTCGCGCGAACAAAGTTTGACATGACAACGTTATAGAGGCACACTCAACTCGTATTCAGAATGTCGACTTGTCGTCAAAGTGTCTCGGATCATCGAAATTGCATTCTCCAGCAAATTTGATCGCGTCTCGATCACTGCCGTTGCTATTTAGTCGTTCGGTTCGATTCTCACCCCCAGTAAAGGACAGGAATTACCCTCTCGCTGGATCCGAAATTTAAAAGGAGCACCGGTGTCTCTTTTTCCGTTAACGTTCATTTAGAGCCGCGGACACAGCTTCATTCCATGATCCACGCATCGGTCTGGCCACACGTTAACGATCCCTCCAATATATCGGTGAAATTTACATGGTTCCATACGCTTTCGAAGCGATTTTCACTTGACAGAAAAGTCAACCTTGGCGTCAGCCATTCGACCGATTCGAGCACTAAAGATCCCGGAAGTCCGCTTCGTTACGAGGAATTGCGGACGACCAGTTTCAGAGCGCGCAATAACTTCAAATCCATTTTACCGTTTGCCTTCTCGTCGCATAAATCAATACTCGTTTTTAATAACGTTTGCTTAATTATCGTGTCGTACATTCTTTGTGAACCATTTATTGTATGTATAAGGAAAGGTAACACCAGGTAACACTTATGTGCGATAAATATTGGATAGACTTCAGGATAATTTGTTCCGTTAGGTACATAAAAATAATGATACGAACAATTCTCATTCGAAGTTTATTGTATCATAGAAAATTGTATAAATCGTGTATACAACAGAGAGAAAATGATTTTTCTGTACATAACAAATTCTTAACATTTACATATGTCGTATAAATCATCACCGGCATCGTGATAATTATAGTATGTTTTACATTTAATGTGAAATTTGAATAAGGAATGGGTTTTCTTTATAAAAATAAGTAAAATAAGAGAATAACACATTTATTTATTTGAAGTACGCGATCTTTTGTTCATTTCTGTTTGGTTGACCAATCCAGACCAATCACAAGTTGCGAGAAGTAACATGGCTGCCTAGTTGGAAAGTTACAATTGGCCAGAGTAGCTCGGTGGACGCGAGTAGACCAATGAAAGCTTTCCATCTAGGCAGCCGTTTCACTTCTCTTGGCTTGTATTTCTATGCTTAAACTACTTGATATACTTGAAGTTGCGAGATCTGTGTAACCATCTCTATTACAGTTTGGTACGAGTCCACGACAGATGGAGCGACCGGTGCCGTTGGACGAGCAGAAGCGGAGCCGAAGTTACAGACAGGTTCAGACGCGTCAGTTAACAGGCGACCTCCGTTCCGTCAATCGTAAGGAAGATTTTGTCTGTAAAAAAGAAGTATCAGGCTCCTGCGTACCGAGAATCGGAATTTTGTGGCTTCTCGAGAGGCAAGTTCGTGATCATGGAAAATGTGAGGATGTGCGAGATCGGCTAGCATCGAGTCGAGCGAGTACGAGTCGAAAACGAGTAAGTACAATTCAGAGCTGACGGCTTTCTTCTCTGGTTCTTTTTTGTAACGAGCGTCGGGTATCATTGATAATGTTTACGATCCGTCGCGTATTCCCCTGTTCGTCTCCTCGTTCATCTATACGGCACGGTTATTGTTTGGTACGTTCGCGAAACTAAGCTCGTGCGTTCGTCGGTACGTCAACGATGAGAGATGAATGGAGAGGTTATAAAGTCAAGACGGAAATTGTCCTGCACCTGCCATCATGAGACGATAGTTTTATATTCTTCGGACCGTTGTCCCTCTACTCGTTTCTTATCTCACAATTAGTGCATCTCGCGTTTCCGACTCGTGTTTCGGAATCTGTAAGAACGTCGGAAGAAGAAAAGTGATAGGACGACAGATTAGACTGCTCGGAATAATTGTTCGCATGAAAGAAGCTACATCCTTGTGTACGCTGTATCGACGCGGTGCACGATCCTCGCGTTTTATGTGTCGCAGATAAAGTCGTATGACAGGGGGAGGAACAGCGTATGGTTGCAGAAACTCCCTCGGGAAATACGAAAATTGATATCTCCGGATCTATCATGCCAATGGGCTGACCGATGAAAACGATGTAGCGATCGTTTATTGTCATGCAATTTTATCTTCACGAGAGCTCACTGCGATCATTCACGCGCCGTTTCCATCCGGCTGCGTACTCACCGTGCACATCTCCCGAATCCCAAAAATAGCTGAAACCATTTTCGTACACGTATTATCGTTTGTTTCGTGGATTTTTTCCCGCGTGGAACGTGAGTGCACGCCGAGAGAGGTTACTCGAGGCCGGGAACGCCGGGATACGCACGTTTGCTCGGTGTTCTCAATCGAGTGCACACCTCGTTAAGTTATGTAAATGCATCGCGGCAAGTGACACGTGATAGCCAGTTTGTTTAAACAAAGTGCAACGGTATTAAATTATGTGGTTCGTGAAACTTCATCCTCATTCTTTATCGTTCTTGCCCGCGGTACAGACAATTACGTACGATTGAGGAATCGAACGGTTCCTCTCTAATTCATGATTTCATGTCCCTTTCGATTGTGTCGCATTCTCGCGATTGCGAACCACTCGCAAGGACTGTGTTCGATGCTGTCCATAAAACGTCTGTGGACATAGACCGATTCGTTTTTTGCCGGACTCTTCTCTCTTCTCCTAGAGTCGAGCCGAAGTTTTTTACAGAGTGATCCGTCTGTACCGGAACATGTAATTCCTCTTATCGCGTTTTAAGCTACTGATCGAGCATCGCGATATTTTTCTCTTCGATGAATGTACATTGGTTGTCAGAAATTGTTCAGATAAAAATCGGTAGTAGCAGATTGATTGAGATATCGTTTATTGATTCATTCTTCGTACATTTTTTATTTGACATACGAGCACAGATATCGTGGGAAACGTAAATACGACGCTCGAGCATTCTGTAATCATCCGATAATAATCGACGGTTCCTGAAACATTAATTGTTCTCTTTTATTGTTATCGATGACGCATCGTGATACTGGAAATTGTTTCTGCTTTCTCGTCTAGCAAAAATCGAAGAATTTCGTCACTTAAATCTACTTATTGTAAAGATAATGGAGGAAGGAAATAGAGGATTCTAAACGTTTTCTGGAACGTTATCTTATCGTTCTTAATTAAGAATACCCCCACCTCTTTCGTACAACGCGTATAAATATTCTAATATCGTTTGCGGTGAGCAGTGCAAATCCTCTGATTCGCATTTCGCGTTTCCACCGTGCTCGTGGAAAGCTATAAACTTGGTTTTTGTTTCTCATTAACGAACCACGAGTCTGCGTGGAAAGTTTGATCAGCTTAGAAGCGTCGTGGTGGTCTTCGATTCGAAACTAGATTAGATGCCGTTCTACAAGTACGTGCGTATACATATTTCAAACGGAATACATTGTTAACGGGCTACAGATTTTTATACAGAAATACACTGTGACGATTTCGTCGACGATAAACGAGCTGCATCGCGTTCATTTTTACGCTTCCCTTGCTACGCGATCCAACTATTGTAATAGACCGCGTTCGGTGTGAATGGTCGTGGCGATTCACTGATTCCTAAGTCTTAACAATTCATCGTCGCTACCGATTGCGTCTCTAGAGACCCGATGCTCGCGTCGAGTGTTGCGGTCACCTACTTTGCAGCAGCCTGAAACTCGACTCCGGGAAGAGCGCGTTCATTTTCGCTTGCTCGCGTTTCCAGCCGCAATTAACATTTTTCAAAACAATTCACGTCGACAGGCTGTACCACCGGTTCAACGACAGATGTTGCGCAGGGTGTCCCGAACTTGTTAAACGCTTACAACGAAGGAAAGTATGTTGTATAAAGTTTCCCAGGAAGCGCTTTGTTACGGAGTTGTTAACAAATATTGTGTACGCGAAACGAGTAACTCCGCGTTATCTGTTGAACCCGGTGTACCTCAAGCCAGGCCCGAAGGGTCCCTCGATCTTACTCCTCTCGTTTCTTGTTGTTTGTTCCGAAACGAGAGGGCCGAAGAATCAGAGCAAAGAATTAAAAATGTGATTATCGAAACTCAGTAAAATTGAATCTCTTCGTTGTTAACCTTTACTGTCAAGCTTGCATCCCAGCGCGCAGGCAGCACTTCGAAATGTGTCTTCAAAAATGTTTTTTCATCGCGTTCACACTCGTTCCACGCGTACAGTACTTGTTTATAACGCTGTAACGAAGCGTTTCCTCGTAAACTTCGCATACAATTTTCTCTTCTTTTTAATTGGGACACTACCCTGTACGTTCTATAGATTTCAAAGTCGCATGAACGTAGCTATTGAAAGTGTCAAAAAAGATACGGTGACAGTGGTTCGCGAACGTTCACGCGGTTCCCAGATCGTTGCTCGTTCCTGTAAGTTTGTTTTTTATCTACTAAACACGATCGCCCGTGATCATCGCGTGTAAGAAACATTCGCTGCTCACGCTTGTTCCTCAAGTATCGCGGTAGAACACAAGACGTTCCATCGCATCGACGCTGCGGATCGTGTGTGTGCAAGTAGTTCTCTTTATACGCGATAAGTAGAGCAGGGGACGTTAGCGTTAGTGCCCGAGATTAGCGTACGAGTTCGGAATTAATCCTTTTGACGACCAATCGGACTTGGACGTCCCGAATCTAATTGTACATGGTATATATGAATTGCTGTCTTTCGTGCGTTCGTTGTATCTTTTAAAAGATCTAGGAAGAACTTTCTTCATTCGTTTAAACGACATTTACGTATTTTCCCACGATCGATACTTCGGCCGCTTTTTGATCAGAGTCACGAGATGTGTACACGCGTCGAAAAAGGTATGAAATCTGAGAGGTCTCTCTGTAGATTTACTATTCCTCGAAAGCGGTTCTGGAAGTGAAACAGAAACCCAAACGTTAACGATTCCGATCGGTTTTTTTTTATAGTTCTCTTGTGAGAGGTTCCAGAACCGTGGCCCTCGGATCGTTACAGACAATAACGTTGAAAAGACTCGGACACGTATTGCCCGGTTAACGTCTGATACGAAACACTGTCACGTTTCCTCGTAGTTTTTGTTACGTGATGGGCCGGTTTAATTTGCAGTCTCGGTGACCACGATGGCGTGCACGAGTAATTGCCATTTCTGAGTGTCGGCACCGAGAGAGGATTGCGGAAGGCCACGCCACGTCCGTGTACGTTACGATGTCGGTGAAGCTCCGAACGAGACCCGCCCAGCCGGCTTCAAGTGTTCAGCTTCGTCGCTCGAGATCATCGAACAGCCTGTGAAGCAGAGTTCGCCGTAGAAAGAGAAAGAGGGAAGGGAGGATCGTGGAACTGCCTTTTTTAGCAGAGTAGAATTCTTACGATATTTTGGTAAATATTGAACGCGGTCAGTGGGGGACGACGGAGGAGAGTTCGGTTTGCACCGGGAGCGGATTCGCGTTAAATGCTCGTATTTAGTGCACGATTGCCGCTCTGCCCGCGCGTGCTGTGTACCGCGCACCGGTTCTCAAGGATCTCTTGAAATAAAAGGCTGGAGGATACCGAACGTTCTCCGGTCAGCTTTCGATCACCACGAGTGAACGAGTCGCGGTCAAAGTGAAGTGTTTCGGTCTCAGTGAGATGGCCTTCATGATGAAGAAGAAGAAGTACAAATTCTCGGTGGAGGTCGGTCTGGAGGAACTTACCGCGGTGCCGTTCGTGAACGCAGTGCTGTTTGCGAAGCTCAGACTCCTCGACGGCGGTTCCTTCATCGACAACTCGACGAGGTAAGCGATACGAGATATTTTTTTTTCTATCGAGCTGCCGCATACGAAAACTGCGGCACTCGTACTTTCAATTCGTCTCCATTACCTTTCGCCATAATTAGACTGCGGATGTTTTATGCTATCAGTTTAAAAGACATCCTTCGAACAAATGATGGTTTCGTTATTCTTTGAAACATTGAAATATCCATTCAGCTTTTCATTTCCTACATAGTTTTACATGTTGAAGTGCAACATTTATCATTTTCGTATTTTCTTGTGAATGTATAAAATCCGCTGTCTAATAATAATGGTATTTCAAAACTTCGTGTCATCGTTCACCGACCCGGTATTTAGTTTCCGTTGAAAGTAAATCACCGGAAGGTTGTCGGAAACTCGCTAAAACTAGGATTCACGGATATCAGCCGTGAATGAGTCATGGTCCCATAGACGTAGATTTAATACCACCCCGCGAAGGGTGCCTAAAGTCTAAAACTAGGTAACGAGGTTTCGGACTCTTTCGTATAATATAACGTAGATACCTCGTTCGAGCGTGAGTACGCGAAATTTGACAATGTTATTATACCGCCACGGCTTGCGTTACCATTTCGCCGTTTCTTTAATTGGACGAGTTCTATCGCTAAATGTGTAACAGTTTCTTCCGTCAATGGGTAAGGCAGGAATAGAACAGCCTTTGCGAATATGAAATTAGTGATCTTTTTGACGTCGTTCTGTTTATTACTTCCTGGTAAGGAAAAAGTAATGTAACACGGTACACAGTATGTACGATACCAGCTGATGGAAATTACCTTCTGTATTTTAATCGCGCCGACGATTACGAAAGTGGAAGCAGACTTTCGAATAGTCATCGATGGACAGCGGATTCCGATGCATTTACATATGCATCTGGACGTGTAGAACGTCAAACATACTATAGTAAGCGTCGTTATTTGTTCAGAAATTAAGAGAAATCAGATTTTATTTCCTAAATCGATATCGTTGCATTTTGCATAAAACGAGATTGGAGATGGAATCGAGGACGAGGACCCGTTTTTAATTGCGTCCCCTTTGGAAACGACGCGAGAACAGTGACAGATCTATACAGCCTCGTTCGTCAGGTTTTCTATAGTTTCCCAAAGATCATTTGAAACGAGAGACGTCGCCGGAGCGATAACATATCGGTTGCGATTCAATGAAACGCTTTAACGCGGGTGTAAAGTTACGTTTTCCTCGAGCCGTGTTTCTCGGGACCGGCTCAGACACGATTCGATCGTTCTCCGCCTTCCACCCATCATCGATCGATGTTCAACCGCGTTATTTCATCGTCGCTCGTCTCGAATCTCAAAAGGACTCTTTACCCAAGAAGCTAATACGGTTTACGTCGGATCGCGTGGCTCCTTCGACCCAGCGGGGGACATGTAGAGCGCACGTGGACGAGATGCACGCGACATAAATTCTCCGCCACGGCTCCGTAAACGATATTTCTTGTGTTACATCGCGATTCACCGGACGCGTGTGCCTCGATTAAAGCGGATGCCCGACGAGAAAGGATCAATTCTGTCTCGTCGACGCCTCATGCTCGTTAAAGAAAAATAAGATTTCCGTCGTCGTTCCGCGATACGGAAAACGCGTAAGAATTATCGAAACATCTTTCGCGAGCGAGCAACTCCAAACGGGCGGAAATTCCTAATTACTATCGAGAACGAATTTAATGGCCGCTTTAAGCGACGCTGCGCGTCGCTCGCGACTTTTATATGAGAAAAGTAAATCAGACACGAGCCGTTTTACTCTTGCGATTCCTACTGTAAAAATGCGCTCGAGTTTCGCTCTATGAAATCGTAATTGGAGAGACGCGAACGACGTTTCACGGGCATCGACCTGATTACGACGAATCGTGGCAGACTGTACCATTGAGAATTAGCACGGTCTATCACGTCGGAAAGTGGGAGTGAAGGAAGAAACGCTCGGCATTGTGTCTCGAAGTTTCGCGTCGTTTCGGTTTATCTGTAGTCCCCTTGGCACGGTCTAAAATCGATGCGACTAGTCATTTCGCGGGAACGAAATCAGCGAACAAAATGAGTCACGTATTTGGGAATACCGGAAGCTGGATCGGTGCCAGGAACGGTCTTCTCGTTTCGCAGAGAATTTCGTGCGAGAATTTTGTTGTTTCACGTTTTCGCTCACTTAACGCCCCCGAATCAGAAAATTTGTTTGCGGAAAACGGTTCTTGCTTATTTTCTATGCTAATCGGGAAGAACGACGATCGAGCGATGTCAATCGTATCTTCGAAGGTTTCGTATTCCTTTGCATGTCGCGTGCATCCTGCGTTTTTTTTTTTTAGAATATTTAAAATTCTCATGACTTCGCATGAACGCATCCGCGGTCTAGTAATTAATGACTTTCTCGTCGCTGTATGCCCGAGTTCCGTTGGATTTCACCTGCTTTCAGAAAGGAATCTCGACAGTTTTTCCCCACCGCGTGTCACGCGGACGACCTTCAGGTGAAAGGACCTTCGATAAAATGGGAACGATCCGAAGTGGATTCGATGCATTTATAACACGTTCAGTTATCTATGCAGTACACATCGGTGTATCGTATAAAACTGTTCAGATAGAATTTTCCTATACGTTCGCAGAGACTGTTCGTCTCCGAATTCCTAAATTTTCCTCGATTCCCTTATCCCCTTAATGCACTCACCCGAGAAAACTTGAGTTTTGAGAAGACAGTTCTTTTCCGCGTCTTTGACTTGTGAGACCTACAGTTTTAAATGATTTTCCTACATGAATACAACCGAATATACTCAGAACACTTTACTCTCGATTTATTGTATATAAACATTATATTTATTTAAGTAAAAATGATTCAATGTATTGATCACTCTCATTTTTGACCTGTGCATTAAGGGGTTAAGGAACCTTAGGGTTGAATCTTTTACAAATTCCGATTGGCCTTTAATCGCGTTAGAAAACACGGTCTTCCTTTCTCCGCTGCTTTTGTGGAAGCGCGGTGTATTTACGAAGAAGTCATTACAGAGGAAACACGATTCCTCCGGATCTATGTCAGTGAGACCGATTGAAGTTTCTACGAGATTTCTCTCAGTGGTCTATAGAGTTCAGCCACAAACGTAAGGTATATCCTCGTTAGAACTTGCGGACCAAGGGAAATTCGAGCAACCGATGTGTAAAGAATCCTTGCTAACTTTACAGTAGAAAACCAAATAAATTTAGCTGCGTACTATCGTTTTCTTAAGGTCGTATGAATCCATACATAGAAACAATAACAGAGTATTAAAATTTTAACAATTACTAGATGTTACATGGACAAATTGTAGAAATTTTAAAATTAAAAGTCAATTTCGAGGATGACTCGTATAACTTTTTAACTTTGTACCGTTCAAAGATTCTTTGCCGTTGTTCATTTTATTCAAGAACTGACATTGATACACGGTACAACAACCGAGTCCTGACGTTATTTGTATTACGCGCATCGTTACACGGCAGACTGTGGCGTCTCTCATAGAGGTTTTCGTGATGCATCGCCCCGGGAGAGGGAAGGGTTGAGGTCGAGGGAAATCGCGGGGTCTGCGAGGGACAAGGTAATCCCCGTCGAGGGGAGAACATTACGACAAACGAATCGCAAGCTGGCAACGCGATTCATTCGTCGTAGGAAGCGACGCGCGCAATCAGATCGAGATAAGCGTTTCGATTTAACGTCAGAAGCGGTCGACTGGTTTCCCAGCGACTGGTCTACCTTGAACCATGACCTTACTTCGAAATCGGCCGCTGGACGTCTGGTAAAAGCACCGGGTGTAGAGCGACGAGGACGAGCGAGAAGGCGTTCAAAATTGGGTGCCGAGAACTTGGATGCCAAACGATTTCGCGTCCCAGATATGATCGGATCGCGAATACTGAAATCCAGCATTTTTCGTTTCGTATTGCGACGATACGAAACGACGTGAAAAACGAAAGGAACGTGAAAACAAGTGTCCCCGACGTTTCACAAAATATGAAACAGTGGGCAGACCAGCCGGTCTTTACACTAAATACCGCATTGTCAGTTGCACGCGCGTCGTGGCCTGAATTCATACCGCGCGCTAAACGACTCCGTTTCACCTATCGTGGCCACAATTTTTGTCCGTCTCATCCCAGCGTACGGATTCTTGGCGATCATCCGAGGAAGCTGTGTGGTCGTGAAACGTATACGCGGTCTTGTATCGAACGATCGAAGCGCGTGTCTATGAACGAGGTGGGGTACGCGAGAGCAATTAAAGCGATGGGACACGTTCGAAGACGCACTCTCGTGACCCTTTCAAGTCGATGGAAATCAAAGTAAATGGTTATCTCGGATGTCTCCCCGGCCATGGGATTGCGGGCTCGTGCTCTCTGTCCCTTTCCCCTCTGCAAATGTGTGCACAATGTTATACGATCCAAGGGCGCGACGACACATCGACGTAATCGTTCCCGTGGATACACGCAGAAACATTCTGTCTCGGCCGGAGCGTTGTAATCGGGTGTTTCCTCATCATGACGCATTGAAGCGGTGTCAAGTCCTCCACCGTGCTCTGCTCGCTTCCATGCCCGGGACACACCGGACGACAGGACATTGTCCATTATCATCGGTACCCTCGCGTGTCTCTTCTGTTTATCTCTCTTCGCGACCCGCTCCGTCTCCCTCTCTGCTCCATGGTTCTCCGCCGGCAGATCAAACGCGCGTCTCTTTCGATCTTCGCGCCTCCGGAATCGGAACACGAGGATCGTATACTTTCTCGTACCTCCGGAGAGAATCGCGTTTCTCTTTCGACGTCTCTCACTGTCGCTTTTCTTTCCAATAGACTCCAGAGTAATAAAACATGAAAGAGAGATCTCTCGGTCTATTCTGACTACCGTCGATACGCACGTTTGTATTCTGGTACTTTTAACGGTCTCAGAATTTCGTCGACCATCGTTGAACAATGAATAGGCAACGGAATCGATGAAGAAAGAGGAGTAGAAGAGGGGATCGTAAAGAAAGAAAGGAGGCGCAGC